TTCATGGTAGATGTAAATGGTGTCTTAGGAAGTATCTGAATCACAGATGGTTCTGGAACAGCCTAGTTCAGTAACTGCAACTTTCATACTTAAGGGGTATTTTGATATCTGGGTCTCTTCTCACTCTCTCTGCCCAACTCCGCCCAGCTTCATCCTCTCCATCCTCCCCATCCTTCCTAGAGGGGAAGGCATGAAGGCATGCTTCTGTGAACTTTATACTGTTAGCCCTCTCCATCTGATCTAAGCAAGCAGTAACACCTGCCTCCCAGAGTTCAAGTTTCCCCAACCCTTCTATCAAACACTAGCTGCTCTTACTGCTGTCCTTCTAAGAAGCTGAGCCTACCAGGCATCTGGGCTCCTCTCAAATTAGCCATCAATTGAGCCTCAAGATCATTTCCCATCTTGTTTTTTCAGTTCCTTTCCTTTTTGAAACAGAGTCTCATGTAACCCAGGCTTAGTTGGCCTCAATCTGGCTATGTACCCAGGCTTGAACTTTGGATCATCATGCCACTGCTTCACAAGTGCTAGGATTGCAGATGTGGGTTGACCACATTCTATTTATGTAGTATTGAGAATCTAACCCAGATCTGTGTGTGTGCCAGGCAAACACTCTACAACTGAATTATACCCTCCCTACCCCTCTACCTTATGTTGTTTTGTTTGTTTTCAGACATGGTTTCTCTTTGTTGCCCTAACTGTCCTGGAATTTCTCTTTAGACTAGGCTGGCCTTGAACTCACAGAGATCTACCTCCCAAGTGCTGGGATTAAAAATGTGCACACCATCATCTCTGGTCAGTTTATTTCTGCAGACCAGCATGCACTTTGGTATGCTAATGGACACCACAGATAGCCATTTGTCCCTACTTTCCTTCCTTCCTTCCTTCCTTCCTTCCTTCCTTCTTTTCTTTCTTTCTTTCTTTTTTTTTTTTTTTGATTTGTTTTGTCTTGTTTTTCCATATAGGGTTTCTCTGTGTAACAGTCCTGGCTGTCCTGAAACTGGACTAAGCTGGCCTTGAACTCACTGAAGTTCGATGGAGTATACACAGACACACAGACACTCTCTCTCTCTCTCTCTCTCTCTCTCTCTCTCTCTCTCTCTCCTGGATGTATAATGGGATTATATTCTGATACACTTCTTTGTTCATGATAAATACTATAAATATGCATTTAAGCTAAGTGTGGTGACAAAATTTGTAATCCTAGCACTGAAGAGGTAAGGAGTATTGCTCTGACCTGGTCAACCTGGGTTACACAGTGAGTACCAAATTAGGATACACAGCAAAGCCCTGCCTCAAGGGAGAAAAAAAAAAAAAAAAGGCAATAATCCACCTAGCCAAAATACAGCCCAGAGTAGAGCAGCGTGGGTTCCCCCGCTGTGACCACACGAATAGTTCTTTGTGCTGTGGGTCACTGTTCCGGCACGGTATCAAGAGAACATTCTTCCACATATCATTAGCTAGGAAGATCAAAATTCCACTGAGTACATCTTGATCACACGGTGGAATCCTCAGTAATTGAGGGCCATCTGCACACAGATCTAATTTCCTAAAACACAGCCTGTACAGAACTGAGGTGATTTTGAACTACCACATCATTTTCTGTAGCTATAATTAAGATTACCAAGTCATCAGAAGGGTTAGAGGAGAACATATCAACTGTGGAGTTGTGCTTCTCACCATATTTAGGAAGCAACTGTTACATTTCACACACCACTAACACTGAGTGGCTTCACCCTCCAAACTTTCTCCAAGAATCCCTAGAGGTGTCAAACTGTAACTTGAAAACCACTACTAGACAGGGGGCTTGAACTCAGGTCCACTGATTATGCAAAACCTTTGTTTCTGTCCTTTTACTGACATGGTGGGTGTGGGTATGATTCAAGACAGACTTTCCTTACCAAGTGGGTTAACTCAGCATTGGGGCAAGAAACTGGTCCCACAAATCCAGCTCACTGGTTCCGTACACTTGAGGGTCCACACAATGTCTTTACAATCACGTTCCCATTAGATCCTTAGGATTTCATTGTAAGACGGGCATGGGTAATCGGTGTTTTCCAGATGGAGAAACAGAGGTTTCTTCGGCTAATTAAATGGCACAGCAGGGAGGGGCTGTTTTTGTGTGCACACTACACTTAACTGTCTCGCAGACAGTATTGTTTCCAAGCTCAAACTTTTTGTAGACTAGACAGTCTCAGGAGGAAAGCAATTGAATATATACTTATGTTCTCTGAACATGTAAATCAAAAACCTCAACTGGAGGGGCTGAAAAGATGGCTCAGCGGTAAAGAGCATGCAGGGCCAGACGACCAGAATTC